TGTGACAGAACAATACCAATACAATGCAAAACATGAGGGGATTGAGGGCCCTGCTCTTTCGAGCTTACAATCTAGAAGGGATGGGATAGTGGTACAGGAGGAGATAGCTGTGGGGGATGGAGTGGTAGGAAGAGTGGAGGAGGTTGGTCAAGTTAGCAGGGGGTAGGCTTCCCTGAAGAGATGGGTTTTCAGGGTGCGCCTAAAGGAGAGGAGAGTAGGTGATAATCTGATGGGTTGGGGAAGGGAGTTCCAGAGGATGGGTGACACCCTGGGGAAGTCCTGGAGGCAGGCATGGGAGGAGGAGACCAGGGAACTAGAGAGAAGGAGGTCTTGTGAGGAGCGGAGTGTGCGTGCTGGGTGGTACTTGGATATTAGGTCGATGATGTAGTTCGGGGCAGTATGGTGGACAGCTTTGTACGTCAGTGTTAGGATTTTAAATTTGATCCGTCGTGCAATCGGAAGCCAGTGGAGGGATTGGCAGAGGGGGGACGGAGCGGTTGGAAAGGTGAATGAGTCTGGCAGCCGTATTCAAGATCGACTGAAGCGGGGATAGCCAGCGGCGAGGCAGGCCAGTGAGGAGGAGTTGCAGTAGTCGAGTCGTGATATGATGAGGAAGTGGATGAGCTGTTTAGTGGTTTCTGCGGTTAGGAATGAGGAATCAGTCAATGTACTCTGTTACGGGTAAAATAATAGAAAAAAGTACTATATTGGATTTGGATGTTTAAAGCGGATCTTCACCCAGAAGGGGAAGCTCCGCTTCTTTGCATCTTCCCTCCTCCACTGCCACAGTTGGCACTTTTTTTTTTGGGGGGGCGGGATACCTGGTTTTGACAGTGAGATTGACATGGCAACATTGGGCCCCTCCTCCTTCCCTCTACAGCCTTCTGGAATACATCACAGGTCCCAGAAGGCTGTGTTACCTTTCACAGATTGCAGCACGACTCACGCATGTGCAGTAGGATACTGGCTGTGAAGCTAGAAGGCTTCACTGCCAGTTTCCCTTACCCAAGATGCTGGCTCCTGCACCTGAAGCAGACTGAAGAATCAGCTCAGGTGAGGACATTGCTGGATCCCTGGACAGGTAAGTGTCCTTATATTAAAAGTCAGCAGCTACAGTATTTGTAGCTGCCAACTTTTAATTTTTTTGGGGGGACACTGAAGCTCATCTTTAATGATTCCATAGGAATCTATCTTTAAGGCTTCTATAGGAAAATCTAAACTCCAAGCTCACAGTGGGGTGTGATTCATCAACAATGGCAGTGCTCGCACTCCAGAAGGCAGTGACTATGTTGACAAGGTGCTAATTCCAGCCCTTTGTCAGTTGTTGCGCGGTCCTCAAGGCCCTAACACACAGTAGTCTGCATTTTCATTATCTAGCTTCTTCCAAAGCCACTGGACAGAAAAATTTTACTTAGACTAGGTTCTGGTGCGTATGTAAATGGTTTGGTTTACTTTTTGTTCACTATCTTATTTTATTCTGGCCTGTCAACCCCTTTTCCCTTTTTTTTTGTAACAGATCTTGCTGATAGAAATATCAAATATGGCACAAGTAATTTTTAAGATGGCTATGAGAAGCACAAATGGGGGATCTTTTATTGTGAAGAGGCTGTAGTAGCAGGGATCTAAATCCCTCTCATGTAATGTTTTTCCAGTCCATTAGTGTCTCCTGAAGCTCCTATACTATGTAGGAGCCAGTCTCCAACAACTCCTATGGTATGTTTGTTGACTATCTCCTGTAGTATGTATGTAGTCTCTGACAGTTTTCTGTAGCGGTACATTCACTAATTATATAATGCGTGGGCTTTTTGGCAATGTCAGTGGTCATACTGAGACTCCCTATATTAAGAAAATTGACCACAGCTGGTCAACAGACTTGGAAATCGGCAGTGAAAATGGTGATAGCCAATCCCCCCTGTGAAATGCAAGCATAGCCTATGTGACAGTAGAAACTCTGCTCTGAATTCAGGAGCAGTGCAACATTGTTGTCACACCACCACAGGAAGCTGCATTAGGTGGACTTCATTGGCAGGCTCAACAGGTATTTGTAGAACTTTAAAGGAGGACTAGGAGAAAACTGTAAATTCAGATGTATTGCACTTTTGCATTTGGTACATGTTCATGTGTCAGGCCATCATATCCAATGGGAAGGCCAGTGATCTCTGCATGGAGATAGGTGATGATACTCATTAGCAAGTGGTTGAATCATGCATGTCCCTGTTAAAGAGACTAAGAGACTCTTTTGCCAAACCAATAATCTGAACAACAATCTTCCGATAGGATTATATTTACCATATTACAGGTGCTCCAGTGACACTATAATATTCCCCTGTGCTCCTCCCCAGCTGCTAACAAGGGTTTATGTGAGAGGAGGGACAGAGGAGCTGGGCCATACAGACAGTAATTAGACATTCCAAGAAGAGGAGAGGGCTATGACATGTAGGGAGGGAAAGGACACTTTCTCGAATGTCAGTTCCATAGCAAGTTCAATGACATATTGCAAGTGAAGTAAAAAAGAAACAATAAATAATAATTAATAGATAAATAATAAATAAGTGAAGTAAAAAATAGCTTATGGAAAGGAAAAATGCTACAAGTAGGCATTTAAAATTCTTAACTTTGCAGTGTTTTTATATGCATTTTCTTTGTTGTTGACAGAGCCTGTTTAGGTTGTGTCTAGCACTCAGCAAAGTCCATATTGACACTTCTGCCGTAAGGAATCTGCCCTTATGGTGGACTCATTTACATTAAAATATAACTAAAAGAAAAACTTTTTTCTTTTAGCTTTGGATAGAGTGGAGAGGGATCTGTCAGTCAGTGTTTATTGCTGTCTATGCCCCCTTTAGGGAGATACACCTTCTCTGTTTGTCCTGTTTACTGTTATCATCAAAAGTGATATTAAAAGGAAATTCCAAATTTTGGTTTGACACCAGAACAGTAATAGAGGGGGAATCATCTAACGGGGACAATGGGTGAAGGGTCTAAATATTAACTGGTATTCACAAGAGCTCCTGATGGTGGAGATGGGTTTTGCTGCATGTTAGTACCAACTTGCGGTCCTCAAGATCACCCCACCAGGAGGCGAGCAACCCGGGGTCCAGTAGCAGATATAGCAGGTAGGGATTAAACAGAAGTGTAGTTAGTAAACAAGCCAAAAAATTGGTAACGAGTGGTAGCAAAGATATGGACAGCAGCAGGAGTGACAAGAGCAAGATATTGGCTGGAGAGAGAACAATAATTTGGCAAACAGGAAGTGCAAAGTCATGGCTTTAATAGAATGTTAATGGGAGGAGCACAGGATTCAATACAAACAAGACACAAGGCAAGGTTGTCTTAAGAGAGCAGACAGTTAGCTGTCCAGCATCTCAGCTGACTCAACAAGAGGAGGTACTGTCAGATCAGAAGAGGTCCTGGGTTCAGATTCACTGTGAAAATACAGAATTCTGCAATTTTCTTCTTTTTAGGAATCTTGTACCCTGACCCCTATCCCCGGGAATTTATTGATTCAAAGGTCTTAAAGTATAACTTCAGGAAAAACTTATTTTTAGGTTTTTGATCGAGTGGAGAGGGATTAGAATATCTGTCAGGTTTTATTGCTATCAGTGTTTACATTAGGGAGATTCACCCTATCATTGAAAGTCAAAATAAAAAAAAAATCCCAAATTTTGGGTTGTCCCCAGAAAAGTAATAGAGGGGGAATCATCCAAGTTCTGTTTACCTGGGGGTCCCCAAGGAATTCCCCTAATTTGCAGGGATTTCCTCTCACTTCCTGTTTGGCTATGGGACAGGAAGTGAAGGGAACTCTCTGCAATTAGACGCATATGGTGAAAAAAAATCTGACGGGGATTTTAACCCTCCCTTGCTCTATCCAAAATGAAAAAAAGTTTTGCCTATAGTTTTACTTTCAAAGTGACTGGCTTCCAAATCCTTCCTATCCCACAAGGAGTCAAGGAATCCATCCTGAGATGAAATGCTAGCCCACCAAGCCACCAGGGGATCCCAAACTGCCTAGGAGGTAAGGGGGTGCTACAATGATAAGCACTGAACTAAACTTCTATGAGTAACGCTGTGTGAGCAACTGCGACCTGCACCCCAGCACAGCATGGCAGAGGATGAAATTCAGCTACCATGCAGCAGATATTGCATTCTAATTCTATGCTGACTATTAATATTTATATTTGGAATATTTAGTACCAGAATCTTTAGCTTTCCTTTAATATTGCAAATATGTAAATCTACTTGCAACTGTCTATATTTTTTCTGTATCTAGAATGAAGAGGTTTTCTTTTTCAGCATAAAAGTGCACTATTTCTGCTTTGTCCAGCCATTCTTGATACCACATCAAAATGTAATGGTTTTCAGTCTACATGCTGGCCAGATAAAGTTGGATTCTGTTTGCTGAAACCAACAATAACTTTAATTTGATAGTTGTGTCTGTGCTTTTGTTTTATGTTTTATTCAGAATCGATTTTACATTTTTTATTCTTCAGGCAATATATGCTGTTGGTGCCAACTGTATTAAATTCAGGAAAGGAACAGACATTCTGCTTGCAGCTATCCCACCTTAATGAGTCTGTTAATGTGAAGGTGTCCCTGGAGGCACAGCACAACACAACACTGCTGGAGAAACATGTCACAGAGCAAGAAGAGGACAACTGCTTCTTATTCCAGGTAAGAAATAGTAGGATATTGGCAAAATGGCATCAAATAACCTGTCTTTCTTAAGTTTGTCCAAGTTTCACTGATTATCATACTGATTTCTCTTGGTTCATTGTAATCCAGGAAAATATTTTTACAAATTGGACAATAGTAGAAACTCTATCAGGTTTTTAATTGCTGATTGTATTTCATTGGGTGGATTTCTCCTCACTACCTGATGGGGGCAAGAAGTGGTCGGAGATCTCTTTATCTAGAACAAACCTTTTTTTTGTCATAAAATGGGAAAATCTTGGTCAGATTATTATATATATACAAACTATGTTGCCAAAAGTATTGGGACACCCTTCCAATCACCTCCATGGCCACAGGAGTATAAAATCAAGCACCTAGGCATGCAGACTGCTTCTACAAACATTTGTGAAAGAATGGGTCGCTCTCAGGAGCTCAGTGAATTCAAGCGTGGTACCGTGATAGGTTGCCACCTGTGCAATAAGTCCATTCCTGAAATTTCCTTGCTACTAAATATTCCATGACCAACTGTTAGTGGTATTATAACAAAGTGGAAGCAACTGGGAACAACAGCAACTGGTAGGCCATGTAAAATGACATAGCGGGGGTCAGAGCATGCTGAAGCGCACAGTGTGCAGAAATCGCCAACTGTCTGCAGAGTCAATAGCTAAAGACCTCCAAACTTCATGTGGCTCTCAGATTAGTGTTTCACGTACAGGAATGAAGACAACACAACAACACAACAACAGTGTGTAGAGAGCTTCATGGAATGGGTTTCCATGGCCAAGCAGCTGCATCTAAGCCATACATCACCAAGTGCAATTCAAAGCATTGGATGCAGTGTTGTAAAGCGCACCGCCACTGAACTCTAGCTGTTATAGCTAGAGATGAAGAGCTGTTATAGCTGCAAAGGGTGGGCCAAATCAATATTGAACCCTACACACTAAGACTGGAATGTCATTAAAGTTCATGTTCGTGTAAAGGCAAGCTTCCCAATACTTTTGGCAATATAGTGTGTATATATATATATATATATATATATATATATATATATATGTATATATATATATATATATATATATATATATACACACACACACACACAGACACACACTGTTGCTGCCCCCCCTAAATACTTACTTGAGCCCAATCTCAATCCAACACTGTGCCCCAGAGCAGTAGCTCTCTCCTCTCCTCTCCTCACTGGATATGGAGGCAGCAGTTAGAGCCATTGGCTCTTGCTGATGCCAATCACAGCCTGTGAGGAGAGAGCATGGGGTGGGAGGGAGCCGCACTGTGTATGGCAGTAAACACACGTAGCTTGCTTGCTATGGGGGCACTTGGAAGAGAAGAGCCAGTAACGCAAGCTAGGGCCCCAGAAAAGAATGATCAGGGCTGCTCTGTCCAAAACCATTGCACAATTTTGGTAAGTATAACATGTTATTTCTTCTTCTTATTATTATTATCATCCAGGATTTATGCAGGGTGTCCCTAAAGTCTGGAAATATGACTATATGTGTGTATGTATGTATATCACTATATAAGCTCACCAGACCCTAACCCCCTTGACTTCTTTTTTTGGGGTATGCTAAAGGAGAAGGTGTACTCAATGAAAATCACAGATATATATATCACCTGAAGGAACACATCATGAATGGATGTGCTCAAATTGACAGAAATGTGGAGTTACTGCAATCGGGTTCATGTGAATCGCATGGAATTTTGTATCACAAATGGTGGAAATCATATTGAAGATGTTATTGATTAATATTCCAATGAAATTATTATTGTTATTATTATTATTATACAGGAGTTATATAGCAGTTTGCTCAGCGCTTTACAAAATAAAGGGAGACAATACAGCAACGATACAGTTCAATACAAGAGGGTTAGGGGGGCCCTGCCCCTTGGAGCTTACAATCTAAGAGGGAGGGTTTGGTGGTACAAAAGGTAATCACTGTGGGGGATGAACTGCTAGGAGGAATAGAAGATTCCGTTATTAGCTGAAGGCAGGATAGGTTTCCCTGAAGAGATTAATTTTCAGAGATCGCCTAAAAGTGGGCAGAGTAGGCGATAGTCGGATAGATTGGGGTAGAGAGTCCCAGAGGATGGGAGGCTCTGGAGAAGTCATGGAGATGAGCATGGGAGGAGGAGACAAGGGAGCTAGAGAGCAAGAGGTCGTGGGAGGAGCAGAGAGGACGGTTTGGGTGATATTTGGAGATAGGATTGCTGATGTAATTTGAGTTAGATTTGCAGAGTTATAAATGGCTTTATATGTTATTGTTAATGTTTTGAATTTTATTCATTGGGCAATGGGAAGCCAGTGGAGGGATTGGCAGAGAGGGATGGCAGATATGGAACAGTTAGTAAGGTGGATGAGTCTGGCAGCAGCATTCATGATAGACTAAAGAGGGGATAGCCTGTGATGAGGTAGGCCAATGAGGAGGGAGTTACAAGGGAGTGAATAAATTGCTTAGTGGTTTCAGAGGTTAAGAACGGGTGTATCTTGGATATGTTGCGGAGGTGAAGTCTACAAGATTTGGACAGTGATTGGATTTGTGGCTGAAAGGACAGATGGAAGTCCAGGATTACACCTAGTACCCTGGCATGAGGGGAGGGACTGATGAAATAAAATGTTGTTGAAAAACATATTGAAATTTATTGAAATTATGCATGTGCCCAGACTTTAGGGAAACCCTGTATAGTGGCAATGGTGTACGCAGCACTTTACAACATGAGGGCAGACAGTACAGTCATAATACAATTCAATACAGTAGGAATCAGAAAGTCCTGCTCGCTAGAGCTTACAATCTAAGAGGGAGGGTTAAGAGATACAAAAAGTAATAATTGTCTGGGATGAGCTGATGGAGATAATAAAATTACAGTTGTTAGGTGGGGGCAAGATAGGTCTCTCTGAAGAGAAGGGTTTTCAGGGATCACCTAAAGGAGAACAGAGTATGAGATAGTCACACAGATTGGGCTAGAGACTTCCAGTGGATGGGAGAGGCTCGAGAGAAGTTCTGAAGGCAAGCATGGGAGGAGGTGACAAGGGAGCTAGAAAGCAGGAGATCTTGTGAGGAACAAAGAGAACGATTAGGTTGGTATTTAGAGACAAGGTAAAAAGAAAATTACCTTTACGGACACTTTAAGTTATACTCACCCACAAATGAGATGAAGTTAAAAGACTGAGGTAAGGAAACCCTGGGTATATGGTTATAATTTGAGTAGGTACCCATAGCTACCAATCCATTTTCACTTTCCATTCATGAAGCAAGTAGTCTGATCTCTACAATGAAAGTCAGTTGAGGAATTTACTAAAATTGGAGCAGATAGAATCTGGAGCAGATGTGCATAATAACCTTCAGGTTGACCAGTTAAGCCTTGTAAATGAAATCTGGAAGGTGATTAGTTACCACCACCAGCTGCTCCTGATTCACAACCAGTAATCAGAATCTGAATACATAGAACTGAAATCTGTTTTTGAAGCCTGTATTTGTTCTGACAGGCCCAAAATGGGCAATTAAGACCTTTTGGCATTTAGGTGAACTGTGTAAGCTGAATAAACTCCTCAGTTGTCAAATCAATCCAAATTTTGACATTTTCAGAACATCATTGAAATAAATGAGAAATATTGTTTTGGTCAGTTTTAGATGGAATCAACCTTCATTCATCACTTGTACCTTTTCACCAACTGATTCTACTAATGTTGAGGTTCTCATTTTCTGTTCCTTTAGACACCAAAGGTTGAGAGCTCACAAATGGCATTCATCACCCTTGATGCTGTCGGTGATTCATTGCATTTTAAGTCAAAGAGAAGTGTCCTTATCAGGAGCCTATATAACTTGGCGTTCATCCAGACTGACAAACCCATCTATAAACCTGGGCAGAAAGGTAAACTGCTTGAACTTTTAACTAACTGAGACAGAAACAGGAACAGTGAATTACAATTCAATGCTAACACCTCCATACCATGTTATTGTACTGTATGTAATATATATTACATAATTAGAGAAGCTCAGGCAATGCATATTATGTGTATTTACATTATTAATCAAAATACACATTGACATTTTGCACTCTTTAGTGTAATAGTGTATATATGCGTATATAAAATAGAATCTCTGTTTCTCTCTCATTTGTAGTTCAGTTCCGTGTTGCCACCATGGATGAGACATTTCATGCCACCCATGAAAAGGTATGTTGGATATTTAAACGTGCTTAAAAGACCCATTGAGCATAGGGCACAAATCACTTTGCACAAACCCTAATGTCTATCTAGAGTATGCTAGGATACCCTGAAAGGAGCTAATTCATGGTATGTTTGCACTTACAGTGTAGCTTAGTGCAGACTATTTTTATACTTATTATGAGGGAAGTCACGTTTCATTGCCCTTTAAAGGATATCTAAACACCAAAACAAAAACCATCTCAACTCAAAAAACAAAAATGTAATAAATTGCAGATTACCAGTTATTTGATATGGTGGCTGCATTAGTTAGAGTTTTTTTAAGGCTAAGAACATTTTTAGCAATTACAGAAACTACCAGTAAATCTTTCCAAAATGCAGTGTCCTTCCTGTGAGCCGAAATGAAAGCAAAGCAATGTTATCTTCCTGCTGCATACAACTAATCCCCCCCACCCCCTATGTAACAGAGGAAAGAGAGGAAGTCCAGCCTAGGTGACCACCAAGGATATTTCCATAAAGTGGTGTCAGTAAGCAGAGCCATCAAGGGACAGAAAGTGTGTTATTTGCAGGATTACCAGGGGAAAATAAAGGAAAATAGCCGAAAATAGTAAAATAAAGCAGTCACCCTATCTATTGATTGGTAAGCTGCTATATACAGTGCCTTAATAAAGTATTCATACCCCTTGAAATTTTCCACATTTTGTCATGTTACAAACTAAAAAATAAATTTATTTTATTAAGATTTTATGTGATAGACCAACACAAAGTGGCACATAATTGTGAAGTGGAAGGAAAATTAAAAATGGTTTTCAAAATTGTTTACAAATATCTGAAAAGTGTGGCGTGCATTTGTATTCAGCTCCCTGTACTCTGATACTCCTAACTAAAATCTAGTGGAATCAGTTGCCTTCAGAAGTCACCTATTTAGTAAATAGAGTCCACCTGTGTGTATTTAATCTCAGTATAAATACAGCTGTTCTGTGAAGCCCTCAGAGGTTTGTTAGAGAACATTAGTGAACAAACAGCATCATGAAGGCCAAGGAACACACCAGACAGATTAGGGATAAAGTTTTGGAGAAGTTTAACTCAGGGTTAGGTTATAAAAAAATATCCCAAGCTTTGAACATCTCATGGACCACTGTTAAATCCATCATCTGAAAATGGAGAGAGTATGGCACAACTGCAAACCTATTAAGACATGGCCGTCCACCTAAACTGACAATCCAGGCCAGGATAGCATTAATCAGGAGAAGCAGCCAAGAGGCCCATGGTAACTCTGGAGGAGCTGCAGAGATCCACAACTTAGGTGGGAGAATCTGTCCACAGGACAACTATTAGTTGTGCACTCCACAAATCTGACCTTTATGGAAGAGTAGCAAGAAGAAAGGCATTGTTGAAAGAAAGCCATAAGAAGTCCCATTTGCAGTTTGCGAGAAGCCATGTGGGGAACACAACAAACGTGGAAGAAGATGCTCTGGTCAGATGAGATCAAAATTGAACTTTTTGGCCTAAAAGCAAAACGCTATGTGTCCCGGAAAACTAACACTGCACATCACCCTGAACACACCATCCCCACCATAAAACATGGTGGTGGCAGCATCATGTAGTGGGGATGCTTTTCTTCAGCAGGGACAGGGAAGCTGGTCAAAGTTGATGGGAAAATGAATGGAGCCAAATACAGGGCAA